TACAGACACTGGAGAGAATGCTTCAGGGGGCAGGCTCATCCTTGTTCTGGCAATGTCTAGGGACTCTGTCATTCCCTTTCTCTCTGAAAGCACTATTGGCACCTTGTAACTTGAACCTGTGACCCATAGGGTGGTAGAGGCCAGGGTGACATCATTGCTCTCCACCTCTGCCTGAGATAGTCCTGGATATTCAGGGAGAAGAGAGCCGTAGCCTAAGTGCTTACATAACATGGACACACAACCCTGGACCAGGCGATAGTGGCCTAGTCCACAGACAGAGGATTGGAAGGTAATGTGAGGGTGGGACCACCCACCCACCATGCCACCACCTGGCTCTGGCCCTGCTGATGCTCAGCTCTGTGGGATGCCACTTCCTTTCCTTTGCAATTTCTATCAGAGGTGAAGAGGGGGGAAAAAAACACAGTCACTCTGATTCACCTCCAGGGGCTTGATTCCTGACGCAGGAATAAGGAAATGTTGGGGCGATGCTGGGCTGCTGGCTGTTGGCCAGGCTGCTGCTGGCTCCTTGGCCCTGAGCGGGTGTCACTGGTATCTGCCAGAGATGTGATGGGGTGAGGGTGAGAAGGGGCAGATTCCATGGCAGCTCTGGACCTCCCCAGGACGGTGAGACAGGCGGGCTTGCTGGTACTCTCTGAGGCGGCCGGCTCCCAGGGACCATGCCCACCCCCAAGGACTGAGAGAACCCCAGGCCACCACTACGCTCACCATCAGAACTATGGTGAATCTCCAGGCAGGGGGGTCCAAGTTCCTTACTCCTCCTTAGCCAGAGTTGACGGAGCATCTATTCTGACTCATCCTTGTTTTCTGAGGGGAAACAGGCTTAGAAAGGCATCATTGCCCAGGACCACACAGCTGATGTGTGGTTTGTGACAGTCTGCTTGTTCCAAAAGTAACTTATCAAGTTAAGGATGTCAGGACATGGTTCATCAGAGTGAGGGCTGCAGGTCCAATGACACCTTCATTTTTCAAGGTAGAAAATGGTGATGCTGCTGCCTTTTGGGACACGGCATCCATGGTCAAGTCCGTGCCAGGCACATTCCTGAGTTTCTCCCACTTCCTTTAACCACCTGTGGACAGCACCGTGCAACCCTCAGCTTCCTCTTCCAGCTTGCTCACCTTCCAGGTGAGGTCACCAAGGCCAGCTAAGGCTTTATTTTTTGAAGAACTGAACTCCAGGGGAGGGGGAAGTGTGCAGGGAGAATGGGTCTGGCCTGGCTGTGGGGGCGGCTCAGCATCTGGGTCACCAGTCTTGGGGAATTCCCAGTGCCCAGAGAGCTGCTTACTTACCTGCTGAGTAACCACTGCCCACACAGAATGCCTGGCTGACAGGCCACCTCCCCAGAGCCCTGCAAGCAGCCACTGCTGTGTAGTCCTGTCTCCTGAGTCTGAGTGCCCCGGGGCCCAGGAAAGAGACCGAACAGCAGGCAGGCAAGGGGCTAGCCCCCACCCCCGCATTCTTCCCCCAGGGGCTCTGCAGGGGGGCAGCTGGTGATTCAAATTCCTCTAAGCTGAGCTTCTCATATGGGGTCTGGGGGTGAATCAGCTCCTGGGGGTGGTAAGGTCCAGCCAGCCACTGTCTTCAGTTCAAGCCTTGACTGTGGTAGCTGTGTGTGTGTGTGTGTGTGTGTGTGTGTGTGTGTGTGTGTTAGGTGTGTGTATGGGGGTATGATAGGTTGTGTGTGTGTTTATGACAGGTACATATGTGGGTGGTATGACTTGTGTGTGTGTATATGTAGATCTGTGTTACAGGTTATGTATGGAGAAGGGGGTGTGACAAGGTTGTGGTGGGTGTGACACGGCGGAAGGCACAGAACCATACCAGTCTCCTCTATCCTGTCTGATGAAGGTGTCCCTGAAGCTGAAAGCTGTGGGATCAGGAGGCTTGCCGGGTGTCAGGAACCCTGCAGGACCCCAGGCCCACACAAGGAACTCATGATGTGCATGTGTGTGATCATTGCCACTTAGAGATGAAGAAACTGAGGATGAGAAGTGTCCGATTCCCAGAAGCCACACGCCCTGTACGGCACTGAGCTGAATCTCCAGCCAGCTTCTGAATGAGGTCCAGGTCCACCCGAGTTCCTACCTCTGCCCAGACTGCTTTCAAGGTGTAAGGTGCATAATAACATAAACACCAACACAAATAGTGTCTGCTTTCAGAGTATTCCTCCTGCCCAGTGCTGTCTGCCCAAGACCCCCTCCCGAGCCCTCAGAACAGGGCAATGTGTTTTTACTTGAAGCAAGATGGGTCCGGGGAGCACCAAGGCCAAAGGACAGGACAGGTCAGGGCTGCCTGGGCTGCAAGGGTCTAGGGGGCGGGGCTTCCTGTAGAAGCCCTCACTCCCTCATTGAGGGATTACTGTGGGCTGTAAACCGGAGGCCTGGCTTGTGCACCCTTAATGTTTGTGCCTTTACTTGCTAACCCTTAGTTTCCCCAAGTAAAAAACAAGCAGCTCTGATGTTCTAGGAGAGCGTTGTGAATCTTGAGTAAAAGTCAGTGGAAAAATCAAGGCTGACTGGCCACATATATCAAAGTGAATGGGAGAGCTCTGCGGGGGCTAGGCCCCAGGCTAGCCTATAAACTCACTTCCTGGAGAGAGGACACGGCCACCTGGAGATTGCACCTAAGGCCTGGCATGGCAGCCCCCATCCCTGCTGAGGGATTCCCTGTGTGGAAACTGCCTGTCCCCCTCATCCCGAAGCCTGTCAAACCCCCAGTAGGCCCAGTGTGCAGGATCTGGGCAGGCTGTAGATGAAGTCACAGCTGGAAGGGGCTGGGCTGGGGCTGCCACTCCAGGGTGGGGCCCAGGGTCACAACCCTGGGAACCAGCAGCCAAGAAGGGAGGGTGCCTTCTGCAAGGGAGCAGAGGGAAGCACACACAGCAGCACAGGGAGGGAGGGACAAACGCAGACTCCAGCTGAAGTCAGCCACGTTGCAGGCAGCTTGAGGACAGAGGCTCAGTTCTGCTTGGAGACCTTTCCTGGCATCTCCCCAGAGGCCCATCGCAGGTGGTGCTCAGACATGGGCTGGAGCAGGAAGCAGGGCCTGGGGCCCCGAGGGGCCCAGAGTGCTGGGGGAGAGCGGACTAAGTCAGGTACTGTGAGAGGGGAAACCGAGGCACAAGGGTGTCAGTTAGGGGTCTGAAATGAAAAGGCCCTTGTGTCAATGTCTTCTAGAACCCATTCCCACTTCCTGTTTCCTGTAGGGTGGAGCTGAGATTAAATGGCTATTGAGGGGGCCCTGTAGTACCAATACGTGTTTTAGGATCCAGAGGTCAGTGCAAGGCCTGGAGTCCACTGGAAGGATGCAGAGGGGAGTGAGGCTTAGGAATGGAGCAGTTAGGGTTGTGGCCTCCATCAGCACGAGAGCACTCGGTGAGGGGGCTTAGCCTTGAGGGACAGGAGATGGGTAGAAAGGACCATGGTGGGTTTCCAGGCTGATGGACTTGGGACCCATGTTAAGGACGCCAGGCTGAGTGAGAGCGGATGTCTGGAAGAAGTGATGGGAAGTGATGTGGGAGCTGGGGAGTCCAGGGCTCTGAGGAGCTCTGGAGATGTGGGGCTGGGTGTCTCCAGTGTGTGGCTGCCAGCTAACTTATGTGCACAGCAAGGGTGAGCCCCAGGTGGGCCACCAGGAAGAGACAAGGTGTGTTGGGAGATGGGGAGAGAGTGCCTGGCCTCCATATCCCCCACCCCCTGCACCATGGGGAAGTACCAGATGGGAGGGTGCTTTTATCACTCTACAATGCAAGGCTCTGCCAAAAGTCCACGGAACAAGAATCAGGATGGGGCAGGGTATACGCGTGGCAGTGTGCGTGCCGGTGGGGAAGGCAGCAGGCACAAAGGTTCATCCTGGTTGGATGCAAGAACATCTGGACAGATCCTGGATGTGCCTAGGGGCAAGAGCTGGAGGTATGGGGATGAGCAAAGGTGTGCTTCAGCAGCCAGGCACACCAATTGTCCCATTTGGATCGGGAGTCAGGTCAGACGTAAGGTTTGGAATAGTGTCCCTGCGTCTGGGAGAGCCCAATCATGGCCCTAGGTAGGTGAATCTGGTCAGTACGCTCTCCACTCATGCTTCTCCGCACTGCTTTATGTTTAGTAAGGAGACCTGACCTCATTTTACCCCATCCTCTTCCTCACTGTTCCCAGACACCCCATGATCTATCAGCAAGCACCCACACCAGGTGTTAGGACCCTGCCTCAGACTGCCGAAGCATCTGCTGGGAGTCACCTTCTTACTCTGAGGCCAAGCACCAAGGGGCTTCCAAGGTGTGTCTGGGGGCATCAGCGATTCCTCAGTGCCCTAAGGAAGCTGGGGTCTCATTTTGCCCAGCCTCCTAGATTTCTGCTTTAGATTCTGCTTTCAGGATACAGAGGCTGAGGCACCTTCCTGAAGTACCTCCATAGACGGTTCCCAAAGAGGCAAAATGTCATGTCTTCCCCGGCCTCACAAGTACCCATCAGTAGAGGAGGCATGCTGATGAACGTAAGGGGGCCAGAACTTTTGGCACACTGGCACCATACCCGGTGTAGTCTCTTTGCCCACTGGCAATGGGCCGGCTAGAGAAAGGCCACCCCTAAAGTAGCTTCCAGCGTCCACGTTCTGCTCTGATTTATGACTGTCTAAAGTCCAAAAGAGCCACAGCCCCCCTTCCTGGAAACTGCCCTCCTCCTCCTGCTGTCCCGCAAAGCCCCCTCCCCACCAGGGGCCACAAAGGCAGCCCCCTGTCTGTTGTCACCCCTCCAACCCAGATGAACCTCGGGTGTCTGAAGGGCACAAGGCTGGGGACCCCATCTGAGTTCCCCTGAGATCCCCTTCCCACCAGACCCAACTGCAAACAATGCTCTGAGCAAGCCACTCAGGAAAACCACAGGGCGTTTTTTTGTTAAGACTTCATTATAATTTTATCAATCAAATTCTTAGAAGAAGGAAAAAGTCTGCCCTCCCCCTCCCCCCTCACTCGTCCCCCTCCCCCCCCTTCACTCTTACTTTCTTCCATTCATAATTTCCTATGATGCACCTCAAACAACTTCCTGGACTGGGGATCCCGGCTAAATATAGCTGTTTCTCTGTCTTACAACACAGGCTCCAGTATATAAATCAGGCAAATTCCCCATTTGAGCATGAACTTCTGAAAACGGCCTGCATCTAAGGTCTCCTCCAAGGCCCTCTGGAGTCCAGCCCATAATGAAGGTCTTGGCCGCAGGTAAATCCACGCGCCCCGCACCGATTGCGAGTCCCGGCTGTGGGCGCGCCGGTAGCCTGGGGCACTGGGCGAGCACCCGCGGGACACTCGCCTGCCGCGCCACTCGGACACTTGGGGCGCCCGCGCAGTCCCGGGCCAGCCGGAGGCGCTGGGTGGCGGCCGGCAGCGAGCGCCGCACATGGTCCGGGAACCGCGCGCCCAGTCCGCCGGGGCCAGCAGGTTGGAGGCGAGAGACCGGGTCGGTGCAGCCTTGCTCCACCGCTTCCTCTCCTCGCTCCACTGCTCTCCCGCGCTGCTCTTGCTTCTCCGCTGTCGCCCGGATTCACCCTCCCTCTTTCTTTTTTTTCTTTCTTTCTTTCCGCTTTCTCTTTTCCAACTGCGATCCGGGCTGCTCCCTGGGAGGGGCGCAGGCGGCTGAGCAGCTTGCAAACTCCGGCCAGGACCGGCGCAGGTGCCGCTTCCGTCGGCTAGTCCCTGGAAAGCTGTGATTGGCGGGCGCGAGGTGAGATGCGGGTACCGGTACCCCCTCAGCTGTCCCGGGGCCTTAACACTGGGGATGCTGGGATCCGCAGGGATAGTCAGGGGAGTGAATTTAAGGGTCTATGGTCTTTTTAGTCCCAGCATGGGGAGTTCAGGTGGGAGTTCTCCAGCCTCCAAGAATTGATTTCAGCCTCTATCACCTTCAGGTGTTTTCAGCGGGTGTTGGAAAGGTTGGGCTGGGGTGAGGGGGCCCGTGTAGCTGAAACTAAAGGAGGGGCAGGCGCCCCGGGGGAGGGGTGAACCTGGACAGGCCCGGACAGCTCCCGGCTCTCCTGACACCTTTCGCTTTCCTCTTGCGTGTCTGCCTGCGACCTTTTCTCTGGCCTCTTTCCTGGTTGCACCATTTCCTCTCACCTCAAAGTGTGTGGAGTTGGGGCGCGCGGTGTGTGTGTGGAGCTGTAGCAAGTTGGGGTGAAAGATGATTTGCAGAACAGGTGGAAGGTCCTCCAGGGGGCCTAATTGAGGAAGGCTAGAGATGGCAATTGGCCTAGAGAGCCAGAATCAAGGTGCAGGTTTAAGAAGAGAGGGTCAACAGAAACCCTGGCCCCCAGCCTCCATGGTCCGCAAGGGGTCCAGTTTGGAGTTCTAGGCTGCAATGGGCCAATGAACTTCAAATAAGCTAAGAAGAATCTGGTCCATCCTAGGAGAGGGAAGACAGACTCCATATCTCTTCTCCTCTGCTGGACCTAATGCTGTCCAGCTAGGGTACCATGCTTTGAAGATTTGACTTCCTGAGAGACAGAGCTAGAAGACGGAGTGTCCCCTGGACCCATCTTCTAGCTAGTACAAATGGCTCCTGGCCTGATATGTTGCTCCTCCACTCAATCCAATGGCACAGATGGGGAAACCGAGGCCAGGAAGCAGGGAAAGAGAAAGCAGAGAGACCTGGAGCCAGGGAACCGGGGGGGGGGGGGCAGGCGGGGAAGGGGCAGGTGAGATGGGCACCTCACCCAGCCCCCATGCAGGGAACCTCAGCTAATCTTTCTGCTTTTCCATTCATCCTTCTCATCTCTTCCCAGGAGTTGTGCCCTTATTGCTGGTTCTGCACTGGAAACACGGGACAGGGAGTCCCCTTCCCATCACCCCTGTTAATGCCACCTGTGCCACACGCCACCCATGTCACGGCAACCTCATGAGCCAGATCAAGAATCAGCTGGCACAGCTCAATGGCAGTGCCAATGCCCTCTTTATTTCCTACGTAAGTTATCTTTCTGGAGTCCGGAGGAAGGCGGGAAGCTGCAGGGAGCCCTTAGGAGCTGGAAAACAGTTCCAAGGGCCCAAACATCCATGGCTTCCTCCTCACATCCTAGCCTAGACTGGAGACTGGCAGTCACTCCTCCAAGGCCGCCAGTGAGTGGAGGACGGAGCCGGGATGAGAAGTGGGGTCTTGTCACTCTGCTCAGGGTGGGCAAAGAAGAAGGATAAGGCAATGAATGGAGGGGGCGAGCCATTGAAACACTGGGGTGCTCAGGAAGGTGCGGAGGTGATTGAAAGTGCAAGTGTGTGTGGTGCTCTGGCTGAGGTGACACGCCTGTGTTTCCTCTCTCTCCATTTATGTCATAGTGACCTTGACGAGTGAGTTCACACTTCTGATCACTGCTGACTCATGATTCTAGTTGCCTACAGGGCAATAAGTTGAGTTCACATGTCACAGATAGGTCCCTAGGGTTGATGGAAAGTTGGGACACTCACCTGACTGCCATGTCATCTCTCTTCTCTTCCTTTACTCTTTAGTACACAGCTCAAGGGGAGCCATTTCCCAACAATGTGGACAAGCTATGTGGGCCCAACATGACAGATTTTCCACCTTTCCATGCCAACGGGACAGAGAAGACCAAGTTGGTGGAGCTGTATCGGATGGTCGCGTACCTGAGTGCCTCCCTGGGCAACGTCACCCGGGATCAGAGGGTCCTGAACCCCAATGCCCTGAGCCTCCACAGCAAGCTCAATGCTACTATGGACATCATGCGCGGACTCCTTAGCAACGTGCTTTGCCGGCTGTGCAACAAGTACCATGTGGGCCACGTGGATGTGACCTATGCTCCTGACACCTCCAGCAAAGATGTCTTCCAAAAGAAAAAGTTGGGCTGCCAGCTCCTGGGGACATACAAGCAAGTCATTAGCGTGGTGGCCCAGGCCTTCTAGACAGGAGGTCTTAAGTATGTCATGGACTGAGGGTTTTCAGGAGCAGGATCCAGATGTGGAGAGGGGGGCTCAAAGTGTTCGGGTTCAGGGCATTGTTAAATGCAAAAGGGGCTGCTGGCAGACCCCAGGGATTTCCAGCCACTCACTGCAGTCTGTGCTGGGCCATGATAGAGCCCAGCAAAGCTGAAACTTCCATGGACAGGGCTCCCATATAGCCCAGCACTAGCTAGAAACGGCAGAGTGTTGGATTGAGGAGGTTAAGTGTAGGTGAGATCTCCCTCAGCCCCTTGTTCACTAGGTGTGTGAACAAGATGCACAGAAGTCTGGGGGCTCTCCTGGCCCTGCAGAATGACCACTGCCTGGGCCTTTGCTGTGCCTCTGAGAGACTTTGAAAGGCTTGGTTGGAGTGTGGGCAGGCCGGAGAATCTAGAAGGCTTTCTTGTCTTTTTGAAGTTTTGTGGGTAAAAGACTGAGAGGGTACACTGTAATGGAATGTATCTTCAGGCTTAGGGATTGTCATGTCAGGTGGAAGATTCTAGAAGGTCACTAGTGTTCAGGCTCTTAGGGAAGAAAAGAGGCCATCTTCAGTCCCTGGAAGAGAACGAGCCCATCAAAGCCTGATGGGCTTATTCTTTTTTCTTTTCTCTGCAGTTTTCCCTACAGCCTGGCATGGGTTGGGGTCTCCTAGCTGGACCTGGAGGTGGGTGTGCTCAGGTGGGGAAAAGCAGGTTGCAAAGGCAGGTGAGGTGAGGTGGTTCAGTGGGTTCCCAGAGTCCTTCCAGGGAAGGATCTGTACAGCTAGCTAGGAGCCAGGGAGGGAGCAGACAGCCATGCTGGGGTAGTAGCAGATTGCAGGTCTCATCTGCTTTTGTTGACCCTGGAGAACAGGTAATCCTGAACCGACAGGCAGGTAGCTTAGAGTAGAAGGTCATGTCTGAGGCCCTGGAGGTCACACAATGGTACTTGAGGGGACCAGAGGCTGTCTTGGGTCCCTAGAGCATGGAGGAGCAGAACTTGAGGTCAGGGTCTCAGGGAAGCTAGAGATCCCAGAGCGCTGTGTGTGACCCAGTGCTGCTGTCTATTTATTACTATATCCTATTTATGTTAACTTATTGGTGCTTTAAATGGCAATGTTAATTCCCCGAAATAGCATGAGGTCCCTCACCTTGGAGCCAGGGTCAAGCCTCACCTAGTAGGGTTTGGTTTGGGAGCTAATGATGTTACAGGCAGAATAAGCCTAGAGAAGGGTTAAGATTAGAGAGCTGGCTAGCTCCCCTGCCTCCCACTGTGACTCACTTTGAGGGTGTCAGGGTCCCCCCAAGGAGCTAGGCCAGTTTGTGAAGTGTCTGATTCACCCCGCTCTTTCTGGTCTCCAGGGGGGTGGAGCAGTTTGTGGTTGTTGTTGTTGTTTTGTCCCATGGTGCTCTCTGGCGCCCCCTGGATTCCTGCTATGCGGTGCACCATTCATAATGAAATGAATGGCTCTGGAACCTTGGGCAAAGCAAATTCCTTGTTCCTCAAAGAGCAGCTGAAAAGCACTGTGACATCCTGACCAGGCACCCAGCATGCTTCCACTCAGCATAGAAGCTCCTCGGGTGGCCCGAACACCCACAGAATGCAGGAAGTTGGGGCAGTGCAGGCCCTGAACTGGGCCTGAACAGCTGCCCAGTGCTCCGGAGAAGGGGAGAGCAAGGCCTGGGACGCGGACCAGGAAGCTGTGCTCCTTGCTTCATCGCTGCCTTCCCACTCCCGCCCATGTCTGGGCTCCCAGGCAGGGAATCCGATCTGATCTCTCCTTTGTGCTGGGGCCAGGCAAGCTGAGGAACGCCCTCGATCTGGGAGCAGGGTAGGGGGAAGGCAGCCAAGTCGGGGCAGTGGCTGACTAGCTGCCTCTCAACCTCTGAGCAGGGCGGTCCTTAGCAGTTCCGCTGCAGGATTCTGTTTCATGCATTTTTGCACCTTTCTTTGTCATTCTCTAAGCACTTTACCTGGATGGCAGGAGGCTAGCCCCTGAAGCTCTGGGTAGGACAGGCCAGGAACCCATGGGTGCGGCAAGGAGACTATGTGTGGCCCGTGTGGCAGCGACACTGTGGCCCTCGCCCTCCTGCTGCTACATCAGGCCCAGCTCAGGACTGGCTGCCCTTCTCCAAGATTAGAGTCAGCTTATCTAAAAGCCAAGATGATTCCACAGCTGGGACCTGCTGGGTCTTGCCATCGCTTCAAGTCCCTGTGGGCATGGATTCCCTGGGCTCGGCCCACCTGGCAGCTTTGAAGGCTCAGGACCAATGGACTCTTCCTCTGTGTGCACAGTCTCTGGCTCCACAATGCAGCCACCACCTGGCTACATCTGACTCCAGCCGTTTTGCACAGCATCCCAGAACCATGGAGCCTTTGGGCAAAGGAACACTTTAGGGGCAGACAGCTGTGCATCTTGAAATCTTACACCTGCTGGGGTTGACTCCCATCGGCATGATAGGAAGTGTGCCTGGGCCAGAGTGGGAGGAGGGATGGGACACTTTGTAATTTATCAAGAGAGAAGCATAGGGTCCTTTATTTATTATTTAAAACTTCAAACCTGAAAGCACTGATAGATAGTTCACTGGTCTCTCCTCCCAGTCCTTGTCTACTTCTGCATCCTTGACTCTTGCTCAAGCAATCCAGCTCTGTTTTGCTGTCTCTCTGGAGCAGACATGGCCTGTGTGCCAGGACCCCAAGTCTTGCCTGGGAATGGCTTAAGATGTGCAATGGTATGGCTGTCTGCATTTGAATGGTCCCCAGTCCCAGCCCAGGCTCTCCTCTGCTGGTTCAGCCTGTGGGCCCTCAGCTGTTTCCCTTTTCATTGGAAAGGACTTGGCCTTGGGTGACAAATTCCTCTTTGATGAATGTACCCTGTGGGAATGTTTCATACTGACAGATTATTTTTATTTATTCAATGTCATATTTAAAATATTTATTTTTTATACTGAAGAAGTACCTTTTTTAAAAAGAGAAAATGAATTAATAAAGAACCCAATCTTGTCAAGCCTTCGGAAGTGTATTGCTATGGTGGGGGGGAGGGGGGGGGAATAGCTTGTTGGGACTTGTCTGGACAAAGGACAGAAGGGTGGGAAGAGGAGGTCTCCTCCATTGGGCCAGAATGCCAGCATCAGTGGGGGTGGGGGTGGGGGTGGGATTTTAGCCCAGGAATAACATGGTGAGTGGTGTCCAGGATATGAGATGCTACCAAGAAAGGGACAGATTAGCTCTTGGGCGCTACAGTGTCATTTCACTATAAACTAAACACTCACTGCAGCCCGGGTGATCTGTTTCCATTTAGCTGAGGTGGAAACTGAAGTCCAGAGAGATGGAACTACGTGCCCAGAGTAATTTGAAATGTTGAGGTCACCCCTCCCATTGAGAGGTGCATCTAGTCCCCAGACCAGAGGGTGTGGGCCTGTTTGGCTTCAAGCCTCATGCTCTTCCCTTTGCATGGAGTTTCGGGGACTTGGAGATGCCAGCTGTTTGGGGCTTTGTCACCCAGGAAGGGCCCATAGTGACATGGGTATGGGCTCAAAAGACCTACACGAAGGAGCCAGCCCCCACAGCATCACATGGGACACTGGGCTCTAGCTGTCCTAACTAACCAGCCATGACAGCTTTTCGGGGTACAAAAGGCTCCTCAGGAGCACGGCTGTCACCCCATTCCCTCCTACTGAAAGCTGTCTTCGTTACAGCAACCTAAATTCTATCCCTTGGGGAACAATGGGATTCAAACTGGGTAGCCACAGGCAGATTGATGTTTCTGGTAGGTCCCCCAAATACGTCCGACCTCTGGTCTGGGGTTTGAGTCTGGGGCTTCCCTGGGAGATTCGCTTTGGAGGGCGGGGCAGGGTTTCTGCATCTATGAACTTGTGCACAAATGTGTGTGGAAGCTCAGCTGGATGAGGCAAGGGCTAACCCTTCTGGGAAGATGCCTTCTTAGAAAATCTTCTCAGGAGTGAGGGTCAGGGGACTTCCAGAGCCATTGGAGGCCTTCAGCCAGAGTCCCATTTTCTCCTCTGTGGCAGGGTAGGGTGCCTCCCGCTTCTCCAGAACTGCTTGGCCTGCTCTTCACTGGGAGCTGATTAGAAACATGGAATCTCATCATCTCCCCACAGCAAGGGCTGACTGCAGCATCAGAAACCAGCCAGAACCCCAGGGTGTCCGTGGGTGAAAGGAAGGCCTGCTCTCCCCAGCTCTCTACACCAACTGGAGCACAGTGGCCCAGGCCTGGCAATCAGCTACAGAGAAACTTCTGGATTGTCCTCTTGCAGGAACCTGCAGCTGTCCGTTCCTCCTGCACACAGATGTGCACGGGCCCACCTGAGCACTCCCTTATCTATGGTTAGGGGAAAGCAGGTTGAAGTTTTCTAGAAGCAAAGGCAGGAGCTGCAGGGATGTGGACCTAAGGTGGCCTCTGGGGCTGGTTTTCTTACCCAGGTTCCTGGATTGAACTGACCACCTGCCTGCCTTCTGGGCAAGGGCCCTGGCCTGATAGAACAATGGAGTATTAATTGGCTATTGGCTCACGCTTGAGAGGACAGTGCAAACTTGTGATAGGAGGAAGCGGTGTGGCAGGCATGCCGTGCTGGGAAAGGTTGGCTGGGGTTCTTGCCTCTCATTGATCATCTATCTCCGAATCTGTGAACTTGCAAGAACTGTCCTCCCTACCTAACCGTGGTACCTGAGGGAGCGGAGAGGTGGGGAGACAGAGATGTCATGTGACTTGCATATCTCTCCAAGTCTAGTCTGTCCTGCCATGGATGGAGGGACACAAAGCTGGATGAATGTCACACCCCAGACGTCTGCTTTGCAGTAAGAGACTCACAGTTCCCTGATGGGCATAGAAGGGACAGTTCTGCTATCTCTCAGTCCAAGCCAGGGCCAGGCTGCTGGTTACAAACTGGAGAGAGTGGACGAATCTCCCAACAATAGCTTCCCTGATAGCAACTGAGGCGCAGGTCCATAGAACCTAGGTCACAAAGGCCTCATGCTCTCAGGTACATGGTAGAGCAGGGACTGTGCCTATGGGATCCCCCCTAGGATCCAAGAGGACAAGGCCCCGGATCTTAGAGGCTAACTGCCCACAGGTACCCCACCGGACACAGGTGGCCCACAGGTTCATGGACTCCCAAGTTTACAAACAGCTCATCTTTTGGTCTTCTGTTTCTGGTCATCATCTGCACCTGGTCAAAGCAACTGTGGTCAGACCTG